CGGTTGACACCGGAATTCAGACCCTGCCAGCCCTCAAGTCCCAGAGCGTCAGGGCCGTTGCCCACTTCCTGGCTGTAGTTCTGCGGTTGCGACATCTGTCGCAGGGACAGGTCGACAGATTCCCATTGTTCCACAACGGCCCTCAGAACGTAAGAAGACGCCGCGTGCACGGAGGTAATGGTCATGCGACAGGCGCTCTTCCATTCATCGCCGCCGGTGTTCTTCGGGGCGCAGTTGTGGAGGGAGATGAACAGTTGCTGAGCAATTTCCAAGACATGTTCCGGGAATGTGGGCGACGTGGATCCGATGATGACCTGAAGGAGACTGTGGATTTGCGCGGTGAACGGACGGAAGATAGTCGGGTGTCTTGCGATCAGCTCATTGACAGCTTGGAGGACAACTTCGACGAAGGGCGTGTTCGGCTTGAGTTTCCGGACGGGCTCAGAAGATGGCTTGACGGAAATCAGGTTCAGCGCCGAGGTAATGAAGCCTGGTAGAGCCGGAGTGGTGATCTCGCGAACGAGGGTCGGGTATTGGTAGGTCAGGTGGAAGATGCGAGTCAAGGTGATGATGCACATTTTCTTCGTAGAGATGGGGTCGGATTTCTATGCGCAACAATTTAGTAAGCATCTATCATGCAATATGTCTCCCATTGAGCATCTTACAGCCAAAATGCTGATCAGCCCCCGAACAAACGGTTCGCTCGAACGTAGAATCTCCCACTGGCCAGCCTCGACCAGCGCCTTCACAAGCACCACCGCGGTCCAGCGACCTTCATACGTGCGGTCCTGCAGCAGACTTCCCAAGCGAGTGATGAGCTTATGAATCTGAACGGCATTGTCCGAGTCCGTCTTGCCCGATTTCTGGCTTTGGGGAGTTGACAGCAACTCCCCGCAATTGCTGATGGAGGATGCGAGGCATGATGCGAGATGCGGTAGTTGCTTGACAGGCACGTTGGTCAACCGGTGGTTGACAGCATGGAGGGACATGGACATGTAGGCCATCTTCACGAGGGCAAAATTGCACAAGCGACCGCGGCGAAGCAATTGACGGGTCTGGCGCAAGATTGAGTTGATGCTCCAAACATCCAATTTTCTGGAAATTTTTGGCTTCGACGCTCGGACCACATGAAGCCTCGGGCAATAATACGAGACATTACGTACGTTACGGCGGGTCTCCCCTTAAGATGGTCTCCGCCGTCAACGGAGCCATATCATCTTGTTTCTCTGCTGCCTCGAGTGGGCATACGTCCCTGTTATGGACGCTGCTTCTTTCTCTTCCCTCCGATTGTAATCATTGGTCCCTCCGTCTCTGTCTGACCTTTCCCAATCATGACTGTAAGTGGTGGCTTCTCACTTCATCCCCCCTGGGAACGTCTCAATGGCAACCTTGTGAAAAGCTTCCCCCTCACTCTGCCACCACATGCCTTCCGCTGACCGAGGCACCCGATTCCCATTCATACAGGGTCGAGACTCTGATAAGGGGCATCGCTATGTTACGGCCCTGGACAATGCGCGTTGCCAGAATAAATGGGAAGAAGTTCCGGAGTTGATTCGGAAAGTCACCAAACATGCTCCGCAGAGAACATGTAATGCCAACTTGCCTTTCCCCGGAAATACTGGCCAGCCAGCAGATGGACTAATGGGGATGCCACAGGTCTCCTCGAAGTAGCCAGCGCTGAATACCAGCTGGCCTCACACCTTCAAAAGCATCCCTCCACCCCCCGCCCTTCCTCCGCCGCCGGTCTCCATGACCTGATTCCATCACTCCTATCCACCGTCAACCGGGCAGAAGGATCGAAGCAAGAAGTTTTCCAGGCGCAGGTCTGCTTGGGATGGGTACATTGGACTGTCAATGAGCTAGGCTTGGCAGCTGCCCGGTTTCCTCAAGATTTTGTAGAGGCCGTGAGTGAGCTCGAGCAGGCAGGGGAAGAGCTCTCGCCATGGACCAAGACATGCCTCGTCAAGGCGTGCTATCTCAAGGGTGCGTTTGCTCCACAGTGAAGATTTGAAGATGTGCACCTGCTAATCTATGATAGGTTCTGCACAGCGCATGACCTCCGACCCCGAAGGCGCCCTGGAGACCCTTCATTCGCTTACGCCATGGGTGAACAGTCAGCTCCAATCCCCTACAAACAGCGCCCAATTTCTCTACTGGTCTGAGAAACTATTGGGCCAAGGCGCCTCCCTGGCATGCGAGGAAGCCAGCAGAGACCTTGCCGCTGCTAATGCTCAAACGATAGCCACGACACTAGGTTTCTTCAGACTGTGGGCATCTCATCCTTCAGTCAAGCAAATGACCTTGCCTCAAGGCATGCTCATGGACGGCACTACCGAGCCTGTCTTGAAATCACCGACCTGGAAATCGTACTACAATCTGCTATCAAGTATTTTGCAACAGGGCCTGCCGTATTGCCCTCCTGCAAATGGACCTGGACGCCCGCAGCTCGCCAGTGAAATCCGACGCGTTGAGGGGCTTTGTGAAGCTAGCATTCTGCGCGAGACGAAATTCCCTACGGCTGATTCGAGCAACCCGGAAGTTGAGGCTTGGGTCGAACAAGTCATTCAGAACTGGGAGGTGCTCTGCGGTGCCGGTTGGTCAGACGAAGAGCTTGGAGAGGGTGGCCAGAATGCTGTCGGCAGGAATGTCCTTGATGTAAGTTCCAAGTTGAGGCACTGACGATGGAAAGCAACTTGCTGATAGTCATAGATTCTTTACCGCGCTGCTACCAAGACATACCACTCACACTTGATTTTGCGGCGTCTGTTCCACGTGCATTGTGCACTCGCGGACTATGATCTCGCTCTGAGAGCGCTCGAGTCATATATCGAAATTGTCACAAGTGCCAAAGAGCGGGCGGCAAAAGGAGCTGAGTCGGGAGATCTGGAAAATGACGGGATCCTTTTGCGCACCGTGTCGGAGGGTGTTACGATGCTGAGTTGCTTCGGCTCGGAAAAAGAGGCTGAGAAAGCAAAGGATCTCACATCTCTTCTGAAAGAGTTTACCGAGAAGCATGTACAGGATGATGAAGACCAAGGCATGACTCTCATTGTGCCTGAAACTAGCTCAACCCGCTCCCAAGCAGTCCCCCCATCCGACATCGCTGCAGCTTACAGAGGAATCGGCATCGGGCTTGCTAACTGGGCTTATTGGACTCCCGTGAATGAAGATCGCGACGACATCCGGGCAGAAGCTATTGACTACCTGGAGAGAAGCCTGGCCCCGGAGCTTGAAGACGAGTCTAACTGCTCCTCTCTATATACCCTGGCTGTTCTTCTAGCAGAGAATCGTGATCTAGATGGTGCCATCGACTACGTCAAGTCGGCGTTGACATCCGATGCACAGCACAAAACAGGTCAAGCCGATTTTGCTCGAGAAAGAGATCTGGTGCCCCTGTGGCATCTGCTTGCTCTCCTTCTCAGCGCGAAGCAGGACTTCGACATTGCCGAACGCTCGTGTGAAGCCGCATTTGAGCAGTTCCCTGCTACAGTGACGTCCCTCGCCCATAGCGACAGACGACCGCAGAAGCAGAATCACGCTGCTCAAGATCAGATCGCGGGCATCACTCATGAGCTTATCGAGAAGCTACGAGTCCGCGAGAAGGAGCGTATTATCGAGACCAGGATGACCCAGTTGGCGTTTGTTGAACTAGTTGAGGGCCCGGGAGCTGCTGTCAACCATAGCGACCAGCTCCTTAGTCTGTTCGCCACACTTTTCCACTCTCTGAACCTGGAAGATAACGAGAAGCCAAATACCAAGGCTGAGCAGGAGCACGAGCACCTTGTTCCCCCGAAAAGCTCTGCTGGGACTGTGAAAAGCCTCCGCGGCAGCATCTTTGGTCGCCACAAGGGACCTCGCGCTCCTGAAAGGAGGGCAGATTTTGGACAAGAGCCCAAGACAGATAACTCGACCTTTACAGATTCGGCCCCGGCAATACAGGTTACCGATGGGGAGAAGTCGGGGCTTAATGAGGGCACAGACTCACGTCAGGCCCGTAAGAGGAGCAATACCTTGAGAAAGGCAGATGCTGCTAACTCAAGCCATGTCAACGGCGATAGCGAGACTCAGGCTGGGCCTGAAGCTAGTAACCCTGTTCCAGACATGGTTGGACTAGCCGTGTCGGACGCAGCGGCCCAGCCCCAGAGCGCAAAGCAGCCATTGGGGCCTATGGCTCACAATATGAAGCACAACCAACCACCCGCTCCAGCCGGACATTCCAAGCAGCCACCGGAGCAGGATATCCGACTACCTACATCGTACGCCTTCGACACTCCCACCAGGGCGGTGACCAAGGTCCCACCTACTCAGGCCCAGAAGCATGGCCTGTGCATCCTCGTCAAGGTTTGGCTGCTTATTGCTGGGCTCTATCGCCGGGCATCATCTTTCGAGGATGCTCACGAGGCATGCGAGGAAGCAGCCAAACAGGTAACGCGCTTCGAAGCTCTTGTGGCGTCCCAAGAGACCTCCGCTAGAGCGTTCAGGGAGCGTGGATGGGGCGTCCCCAAGAGCACTGATGAACTATGGGCAGACGTGTATGCCGAGCGCGGTCTCCAGTCTATCGACCAGACTCGCCCGCATGAAGCGATGGAGCACTTCGAGACGGCGCTTCTCCATTATGCGGATCATCCGAAGGCAACTATTGGTTTGTCAAATCTGCTCCTCGACGTTTGGGAAGAGAAGATGCCTTTGCAGCCTCCCAAGCCCCGGCTTGATGCCGGCGTATCGACGCTGTCGCTGTTTCCGAGCAATTCTAGCAAACCATCATCTGAAGACGACGCGAAGCGGTCAAGTCAAGCGCAGAAGCCGCAGGCTAAGACCGTTCCGGATTCAGACGACGAAGAGCCCCGACTTCTGAACCGCATCGCGGCCCGCGAACGTGCCTTTGGGCTGTTGTCCGGGTTGACCAAGCGTGGCAGTGCGTGGGACAACTCCGAGGCGTGGTATGCACTCTCCCGCGCGTACGAGGCGGAAAGTCAGATCCAAAAGTTGAGGGATGTTCTGTGGTGGTGTGTCGAGCTCGAAGACCGACGCCCCATTCGTCACTGGTCCAACATCGGTTCGGGTATATACGTTCTCTGAATTATTGTATATACATCGTCAAGGGAGCTGTTTTGTGGCATTTGATTTGACATTTGGTTGCTGTGATACCTCGGTGATATCCTCATGTGCATAATTAGACTACGGACTACTGTATAGAACTGGCAGGTCAATGGGGATACTAATTGTGACAATCGCGATAGTTCAAACGGAAAGTAGGACATCTTTATTTATTTACACATCTTCGAACATGGTCTGATTTCTAGGCCAACGCTCTACCGAAATCTACCGGGGTGCCGCAACGGGAGTCCAGGCGGAGTACTTGGGGCGGGTACTGCACTCGTTAGCTTTCGATTTTTGATCCTGGCAATCACAAGGAAACTCACGTAGAGTAGGTCTTGAAAGCAGCACGGCTGAGGGTCAGGTTGGGCCTGTGCTCAGGCAGCTCCCAGCTGCGGACACCGGTCTGCATGATCTTGTCGGCAGTGGGGGGCGCATCCACCATGTAAGAGATCCAGGCGTGCCTAGCAAAGTTAGCACGTCGCATCTGGCAATCAATTGCGAGAAGCTCACCAGCCAGGCTCAAGCTGCGAGGGGTCGTATTCCTTCTCCTTGTAGTCGACCCAGCGGGTACGGACTGCGCAGGTCAGCAACAATCATTTACCCAGAAATAGCATCACCCACGAGGAAGCTCCTCCTCCATGTTCTCGAAGTACTTGTTGCCGTAGCGGTCAACACCGATCAAGGTACCGGCCTTGGTATCACCTAGAATCGCAGGGCGTTAGTCTAACTACCATAACCACCTGCCAGCAATCCACTCACCAATGTACTATTGCAGCAAATAGCACGTCTCGTCAGTATCCATTTCACTCCTTCATAAGCTTCTTCACTCCCAGCATTCGGCAGCATACCTGCATTTGGTGGCCATATTCCTGTGAGGGGATACAGTTAGCAACTCGTCCGTGATGCCCCCGGAAGAACCGTAAAAGATCTCACCTTGAAGCCAATCCGTCTCAGATTGCGCAGCGTCCGAAGAATGGTCGACATCTTGTGTGCAGAGCAGCGAAAGGGGCAGCAATGGCAAGTACTGAGAACAGGTCGGGTTCGACTTCGACTCTTGCGTCGCTCGCTTTCCGCCCGGAGGTCGAAGCCGCCCCAATCCGGTCTAGCGCGGATCGCTGTTTGCCGGGTTTGCAGCATCCGCTCGTCCTTCGATCTCAATATTTCTCGACTTTCTCCAATAGCACTCCGGCAATTACATTTGATTCCTTGTGGGTCTTCTGCTGCTACGCGCTCAGCTACTAGGGAGGGATCATGTTCGGACGAATTGGTGGTAACACCCTGCGATGTGCTGCGCGCAGACCAGCTGCCCGAAGAGTCCTACTATACGAGCGCAAATTCTCGGCCAACACCTGCCATGCCAGCTCCAGCTCGCCTGCGTCCTCTGTTGCGTCGCCGTTAGGGAGTATCACGACCGAGTTGGATCGGATCTCGCCGTGCTTCGAGGTGCCGGCGTCGCGGATCACGATTCTAGACTCCCCGGCTAACTTCTACAACACGCTCAAGGTACGGGGATATCTCGGACTTTCAACATGGTGGATTGCGACTAATCCTAGCATGTGCCAAACTACAGGACAAAATCAAAAAGGCTCGCAAGCGTATCTACCTTTCAACATTATACATCGGCAAGACGGAACATGACCTGATCGACACGTTGGATCAGGCTCTCGGGGCCAACCCCGAGCTCAAGGTCTCCATCCTCACGGATGCTCTACGAGGAACGCGCGAAACGCCCAACCCTTCATGTGCGTCGCTGCTGGCTTCTCTGGTTGAGAAATACGGTGCGGATAGAGTGGAAATCCGCATGTTCCACACCCCCAACCTGACCGGACTGAAGAAGAAATGGGTGCCTCGTCGGATCAACGAGGGCTGGGGTCTCCAGCACATGAAGCTGTACGGTTTTGACGAGGAGATCATCCTGTCAGGGTATGTGCGATGCTCCAGGATGACTACATAGACACTGACAGCAACCCAGAGCCAATCTCTCTAGCGAATACTTCACGAGCCGCATAGACCGGTATCACGTCTTCCACTCCAAGGAACTGACCGACTACTACGCCGGCATTCACAATGCAGTATGCAGTCTCAGCTTCCAAGTCCTCCCCGACTCTCAAAACGCCGCTGGCTACCTCCTCAACTGGCCCGCATCAAACGGCGCGCCTTCACCTCTCGACCAACCCGAGGACTTCATCGCCTACTCATCCACCGTCCTGAACCCGCTCATCCAGCCCTCAAAGAACCAGTCCACCCTGCCCCCCAAATCCCCCGACCAGACCTACATCTACCCCGTCGCGCAATTCACCTCTCTCTTCAAACCCAACGACACCTCGACCGAATTCCCCGCCGTGACCACCATCCTCCGTCTCCTGTCTACCTCGCCCGCCTTCTCCGGAGCCCGCTGGCTCTTCACAGCCGGCTACTTCAACATCCACCCCGTCCTCTCCTCCCTCCTCATCGCCAGCACCTCCGCCTCCCACACAGACTCCACCACCCGAGGCACTGTCCTAACCGCCTCCCCCTGGGCCAACGGCTTCTACGGCTCCCCCGGTATTTCCGGCATGCTGCCGGCCGCATACACGCACCTGTCCGCGCGGTTCCTCGACCGTGTCGCCGACGCCCAGCGCACCAACTCCATCCAGCTGAAGGAATGGCGCCGCGGCACTGTCGGCCAGCCCGGTGGCTGGACCTACCATGCCAAGGGCCTCTGGATTACCCTCCCCAAGGAGGAACACCCCAGTCTGACCTTCGTGGGGAGCAGTAACTACACGAAACGCAGCTACAGTCTGGACCTGGAGGTGGGGGCGCTCGTCGTCACGGGTGATGCGGAGCTAAAGCGCAAGTTGGGCGCTGAGACAGAGCGGCTGCAGGAGGATGCGAAGGCCATTTCGCGGGAGGATTTGAGGAGAACGGAGAGAAGGGTGAGTTGGAGGGTTAGGTTGGCGATGTGGATCGTCGAGAAGGTGGGTGGGGCGTTATAGTATACTACCTTTGAGTTGTTTATGTGTAATATGATGTATTTGATAGATAGATAGATAGTATACCCCGTGTATAATTGTATCGAATGTACAGTATGGGATGGAAGTTACATCCTACAACCTATATCATTATAGTTCTTCAGAAGGCTGGAATCAAGTTAATGAGCGTCAAGGCTCTCAATATCATTGCGGATTTGACGGGGCGCATGCCGTATTTCCCCTATGCTGCGGAGTCTCAGAAGAAGACATGGCCAGTATATCAACTATAAAAAGATAATGCGGTCTTATTCTAACTTGGTATGATTCGCGCAATGATCCTTATGCCTGTGAACTTATCCCTTCGTTAGGGCTCTCGGATGTGTGAGTGGAGTTGTTTTGTTTTTGTTTTTGGAACCCTGTACGGCCATTGTCTACTCTTCTGCTCTAGAAGCAGATCATCTTTTGGATACTATGCAATAATTATTTGGGTATACTTGCGCGAATGTTTCGAGTCCCTGCCCGGTTGCGAAGAACTAGTAAGCTGACTGGGGATACTGATCTTTGTTGGTTGTCCAGGAAAGCTATGGTGTATATGAACCCAAAACTTTTATATGAAGAGAAAAGTGCTAGATAGTCTATCACCAGGCAAGAAATGCAATCATCTCACGCACACATGCACACCCTAACGCCAATCCCGCATTTTTATTCCCACCAAATGATAGATAAATTGGTATCGTTGCAATCATTCAAGCATACCCATCACTCACATCCCACCCACTCAGAATCCACTACGCCCTCCCCGACACCTTCCCAGGAACCCTAGCAGGGCCCAATCCTTGCCGAACCTCATCCAGCATGCGAATACCAATCGCCTCGTTACCGTTCTTTCCGCGCTTCGCCTTAGCGCCCTTCCGCTTAGCCTGGGCACTCGTCTTGTCGTCCCACCCGGCGAGGAAGTCATCCATGATGTTGTTGAAGTTGTGGGAAGGACGAACAGCCTCGCCGTTCGCATCAACGAGACTCGGTGCCTGGGACGAGGCAGTCGAAATGCCCGACACGGCACTCATACCGGTCATGCCGGTCATTCCACTGACCATGGACATGTTGTCGTCGAACTCGTCCTCCTCGTCGAGGGAGTAGAGGGCCTCGACGCGCTCGAAGCGGTCGTCCAGGAGACGGTGGCCCTCTGTACGGGCAAGGGCGGACGAAGTCATGGAGTAGGCGGAGGGGTTAGTGAGGGCGCCCTTGCGCTTCTTGCGGCGGATGGGAGTTCCTCCGACGGTGAAGACGGTCGAGGCGAGGGTGCTGCCCTGCTGGGAGGGGACGACGCTGGGAGGAGCGGCGGGGGCTGCTTTGCCGGACTTGGCATCTTTCTTGAACTTGGCGAATTCGCGCATCCAGCCTTGGTCTTCGGGGTGCATGTCGGGCGCGGGCTCGTTGTGTTCGGGAAGCTCGCCGGGCTGGTCCTCATGCTCAGAGTCTTGGTAGCGGGCCTTTGCAGCTGTGGTGTCCATCTGCACAGGGGCCTTTTCTGTCGCATCGGACTCCCATCCATCGTCTTCTTCTTCGACGTCGTCGAAGAGAGTATCTTCCCAATCACCCGGGTCCATTTCCTCTGCCCGCGTAGTCAACTGACCGAAGACATCCTCCTCGTCGTCCTCGTCCACGAACTCCTCGTCCTCGAGCGCCTCCAGGGCCTCGCGCAACCGCGGGTCCATGTCCGGCTGGAATCCCGCAATGGCATCGGGCACGTTCTGCTGGTCCTGGTAGGTGGGTTTGCGCACGTAGGAAGACGCCGTCGAGCGCATGTCGTAGCTGTACATGCTTTCGGTGCCACCGAACTCGCTCCGTCCATCGTCCAGCGAGACCTGTTTCAAAGCGTCCTCCAACTTCAGTCCTTTGCCCTTGTCCTTGCCCTTCGTCTTGGCCTCGACGAAGTAAGCGTCGCCGGCGCCGGTGCCGAGCTCGCGCAAGTGCTGCATGTAGTCGTATTGCGAGTCATCGTAGAAAATGCCATAATTGGCAGCTTCACCTTCGTTTTTGCGCGCGGCTCCTCCAAAGGTTTGGTTTAGGTCGGCAAGACTTTGGCCGCGGTGCTTAGAGGCGGAGGAAGATTCACTTGGGGCGTTTTTGGGGGGTCCGTAGACGGGGTGCAGAACGCGGTCGTCGGCGGAGGGGTCGTGAATGAGAGGGTCATGTTGGGAACGGTGGAAGAGTTGATAGGTCGTTGCTTGTTTCTTGTCACTGTGGGTTGGGTGGGTTAGTTGGGTACATAGATTGATTGTATGGGGGGGGGGTATGGAGGGTATGGAGGGACAACGTACATCCACTGCTTCCGGGGAGGCATTTTGGGCGGTAACCGGTAATCCGGGAGAGATACTCAGGGAAAAAGAGAGGAGGGAGGGATATAGTTGTGGTGGTGAGAAAGAAGCTCAAGGATGAACATTAAATGTTGGACTGAATTTCGGCAGAAAAATCGCGGTCGTGGGATGGTCACGTGCCGCTTATCGCGAAGGGTCCTCACCACCGCTACTGCTGATGCTGTAGTATTTTAGTACATGGAGAGTAAATCCAATTAGAATTGTATTCTTCTATATCTAAATTCTACCTACTTTCTATCCGAAACAAATCGTGCAGTCTCTTGGACGAACGCAGAAAGTGCTGAGTCAGCCTTATCTTATCCGCGCGGGGTTCGACGAAAATTGCCCGATTGGGTTTTTATCAAACCTTTCTTAATAATCTTCTTTCACTTCTTCTCTTCTTTAACCTCCACCATCCCTGGTGTCTCTCCCTCTCAGTCATCCCCAGGTACAGAGACAACCGTCACCATGGTGCTTGCTAAATCCAAAAACTCCGTCGGGCTGGGCAACAGCCTGATGAACGACCGTTTCGGCAAAGGCAAGGCCTCCAATTTGAAAAAGGCCTCGCACAATGCCGGTATTGCCCGCAAGAACGAAAAGGGCGAGACCTACATCACCAACGCTCCCACCGAAGCCGCCTGGGTGAAGATGCGCAGTATCACCGAGCAGGCCGCCCTCGATGAGTTCCTCAGTACCGCCGAACTGGCCGGCACCGATTTCA